TCCAAGATATCCCTTTTGGGCTGTGAGATAACGTCCCAAGGCATTCGCCCCGATGCTACTCGCGTTCAGGCCGTTGTCAATTTTCCTATCCCGACCAACCCTAAACAACTCCAAGCCTTTTTGGGGTTATGTAATTATGACCGTAGCTTTTGCCAGGACTTTGCCTCCATTGCTGCGCCCCTTTTTTGGGAAAAAATCGCGTTGGAGGTGGGTCGACGAACAACAAAGTGCGTTTGATAACCTCAAACAAAGCCTCGCGAAAGGTATTATTTTGCACCACCCCGCGGTGCCCCATTCTACGTGCAAACCGATAGTTCCGATTTTGGTTTGGGGGCACAACTATCCCAGAAGGTCGACGGACAAATCCGCGTTATAGCCTATGCGAGTCGGCTATTGCTTGATCGCGAGCGCGCGTATAGTATTGCCGAGAAGGAAGCCCTTGCGGTCGTGTTTGCCCTCAATAAATGGAGAGTTTATTTGCTTGGTGTCAGGTTTTACGTGTTAACTGACCACAAAGCCCTCTCGTATCTCAATAGCTGCCGTTTGCTGGTCCCGTGCATTACTCGATGGGTCCTAGCCCTTCAAGAGTACGACTTCGAGATCATATATATCCCTGACAAAGACAACATTGTGCCGGACATACTCTCTAGAAACCCGCCTTTGCGAATTCCAATCCCTAGCGATAGGTGCTTTCATATCCTTAGCATTAGCATGTCTGGGCCCAAGAGTTTCGAGACAGCTTGCCAGCTGTAGGCCAAGCACAGCGTGACGACCCCAAGCTCAACAAGATACGACTGGAAGTGGAAAGTAATCCGAACTGTTCTAGTAAATTTGTTATTCACCAGGATATACTGTTTCTAAGAAAACTGGAGGACCAAGCTTGTTTGGTTTGTGTGGCAAAAATCCTCGTTGATCACTTCTTACTCGCCTTTCATGAAACTCTTGGCCACTTTGAGGTTTTCGAAACCTGGGTGGCTCTTCGACGCGAATGCTGGTGGCAAAATATGCACCGCGACGTTAAACGCGTCCTTAAAACATGCCACATTTGCCAGAAAACTAAACATTCCGAGTTACCTAAGCCTCCGTTAGGTTCCATAATTCCATCTCAAGTCAATGAGTTAATTTCGGTGGACTTTTACGACCCGTTACCACGATCCCGAGGCGGTGTCACTTATTTATTCGTCGTTCTCGACGTCTTCTCAAAATATATTTCTCTATACCCCCTCAAAAAGGCTACATCTCGTAGCGTAATAAAATGTTTTGAGGACGATTATATTCCAAAATTTGGTCGGCCTGCTACCCTCCATGCACATCACGCCACGATATCAAAGTTTCCCACAGCTCAGTGCGGCACCCCGAGGCAAACCCGGTCGAGAGGTGCATGCGTGAATTAGGTAGGCTTTTCCGCACGAGGCATACTCGGTGGGCTTACGAGGTTCCCCGTTTTGTTCAAATATTAAACTCTGTCGTTCATGAGAGTACCGGATTTTCCACCCACGAGCTGCAAACCGGGTCTCCCCCAGTTGCCCTCCTTAAGGAGGTTATCATTACACATTAAACTTTTTCTTGCTAAAAACTCCCTGAGGTCCAAGGCTGCCCGACGCCGCGAGGCACAGTCCCGAAAGTCACCTGTCCTTTTTAAGCTCGGAGATTTCGTGCTACTTAAAGCCAACCCGGTTTCCTCCCTGTTGGCCTCCAAAACAAAAAAAATTATGCTCCTTTTCGAGGGCCCGTACCGCATCAAAAACCTCGTGGGCGCGGCTACGTTTATCCTAGAGAACCCGATTACTGCGGTGGAGCGTGGGATGTTCCATGCTTCCCATCTCAAGCCATATTTTGAGTTGGGTAAACTCGGAGCTCCGCGAAGTCCGGTTTCCGAATCTGATCCCGGTTCTCCGACGTTGGGGGCAGATGAAGCAGAAACCTTAGATAAATAAATATTTATTTAATATTACAACTTAAGGTAGGCAACCAACTATGCTTACCGTGTGCTGCGAACTGCGCGCGAGATTGGTTTTTGTCTTTACGCTAATTTTTTGTGACACCTGTCGTCGCAAACCCACGAAACACGAGACTTTTGAACACTGTAATTTTTTCGGTGGTATCTAGGTTTTAGATATTAATTTTGGGCTAACATTGATGTGACTGTTCGTATTTTTAGGTAGGTGTTTATTTTTGATACTTACAATATAATATATTTGAATGTATGGGGTAGTTGAAAACACGTGTATAATGTTTTGCGTATTTTTAGCGGTTTGCTACAACGACTTGTTTTCTGAATAAACACCTTATCTGGGCCTAGAAGTTTTATTCCCGAAGAACTTTTCCCCCCTGAGACGTACAGACTTTTCTTTAAAGACTGTTACGCTATACTATAATCTCTAAGCTATACTTTTTTGTCCGCAAAATTTTTACGAGTCAAAAATCAGCTCAATTGATTAAAAAAAAAATAATTTGTCGCACAATAATTTTGAAAATTTAAAAAATGGTTAAAAATTTTGACATTTCGAACAATTTTTTGGTCAAAATTCGAAAATTTTTTTGCTTGCCACGGTAAATTTTTGTAATAGGTTTCTTAAAATTTCAGCTCTGAAGCAAAATCTACTTACACCCTAGATAATATCTAATATTTAGTATATATAGGCACGCGCATACCTATTAATGAGTAATTAATAATTACTAATTACTTTTCGCAAGTGTCCAAAAGAAGCGACTATATCGATTTTTTTTTTTTTAAATTTGTGAGCGACCTTTAAAAATTAACTTAAAAAACTGATTAATTTTTTGTGTACAAAAATTTACTGTGGCGAAAAAATTATTGTTTTAAATTCGAATTTGATCATTTTTGTAATTTTAAAAATTCGAAAGCCACCTAATTTTTGATGAGAGCTCTTAATTTTTTTTAATAAAAATGACAAATTAACATATTCGAAAAAAAGTTTTTTTTGCACCACCATTCTGAATTTTCAAGTATTCAAATATTCGAGTATTCGAATTATTCGTAATCGATTCCCAGCCTTAGTAACTACTGCCTGCCTTGCCGTTTGGATTGCTCGGGGCCCCCAAAAGTGGTGAACGATTTTTTTAAATTGCCGTGTTGACATTTTACTACTTTGTAAATCACTTTTTTTCGAACGTTACCCAATCCATACCTTAAATACATCACTTTAAAATTCTAAGCAATAATTATAATTATAATATCTGAGAAATTATCTGGGGCCCCTATTTCTATAGTTACGTCACTGCCTATACATGTACTATACGAAATCAGTGTCTACGTCAATAACAATAAATGTATTTTAAAGATTTCTCTGTTAAAATTGTGTTTTACTAAGACTGGATAGACGTATGCGGTGTGAAGAATAGGTTTTTTAGGCTGATTTTTTTCATAAATGTAAAAATACTGGGGTCGATAATTTTGGCTCAGTTTGTAGGTATAGGTTGCAAACATAATGAAAAAATGCTACCATTATTATTCCTTGTGAAATAATCTTCCAGTAATTATCGAAATATTGGGAATTGTATATGGGGTATCTGCGATGAAATGCATTGTTTTCAAGTAAGTAAACCAGTTTTGCGAAGGAAGAGGGGAGTGCAAGACGTGTCTAGACGGTGCACCGTCTGCACGGTCACCGCGGTGAGAGAGATGCGCGTCCCAAAACCAACAACCTTTTATGATTATGTAAAAAAATCTGTGATTTAGTACTACTAAGGCAACGAATCACCACACAAATGATTGATGATAAACTAGGAATTAGTAAGGGCAGTGTTTAAAAGAATATTTAAAAACAGTATGCTAAATTCTTTCGAAAATATTGAGTGATGAATAAAATATTAAGGCGGTATTTATTGACTGGAAACTAAAAAAACTTTTTGCCGTAGCAACGTGTGGAAAAAAAGTTTATACTCTTTGTCTATAAAAAATTAAAATTTATTTTTTTTGCTCGATTGAATTATCTCGCTCCATTTATAACTGCAGACAAAAGTGTCGGGAAAATGGACTCCATATCGCCGTGCGATTAATCACACCACTTATACCTACAAATTAAGCCACGCTCATCGACCCTATTGTTCCAACATTTTAAGAAAAAAATTAGTTTACGAACTTATCGTCCACACTTCATACATAATATTTATACCGCGGAACTTTTCCAGCGATGACGTCAAAATGTTTACAAAAATCAGAGTTATAAAAGTAAACACTTATGTTTATACATGTGCAAAAAATAACTATAATATCACAATATAATCATTTTTATGTAATCGCTGGAAAACTTCCGCGCTATAATAATATGTAAATAGATTACCCAAAAAAGTGGATAAGCAATTTCTTAGAAAACATTTTTTTTAAATGTTGTAATTTAAAAAATTATATTTAATTATAAATTATCAGCTATTACCGACTTCCTTCGCGTGGAATTAGTACTTTACATTAGCTATTATAAAGGGTCAGTTAAAGGTCAAAGGTCAAAAGGTCAACAAGTAAAGTTAATTCTAATGCCATGATCATCACATTGGTGTAAATAAGTTTGTTTGGAGAAATATTATCAAATGTTGTGAATAAATAATTTGTCAAGATCTACCAATAACTTTCTCTATTCACGGTAACGCTTATTTCGTCGTCATTAAAAAAATAAAAATTCATGAAGCTTCTGTACCATAATCAACACCAAACATTATTTGCGGATCCAAAGAAGCCTTGTGTAACGCTTGTAAATTAGAGTGTAGATTGGATTCATGAGATACCATTTTTAGGATTATCGTTTGTGCATGCCGCCATTTAACTTTGTGCGGTTAATTACAATTTAAATATTTAAAGTACAATTATAATTTGGTGAAACATTCTAATAATTAATTAATATTAGATTTTACGACCCAAATTTAATAAGTGTTAAAATAATAATTAACATTGTAAAAAAACGCACGTTTTCCAATGAACACTTAACTGTTTTGTTTATAAACACGTAAACCACGCTTCTATAAACTTGTTGATCTAAAGTATAAACTAGGCCACCGGTTCTTTCATTCAAAACGCCCTCATTTGACCAAGAGCATTCGAACAAGATGCATTATTTGCCTTTCTTTATAACTATAATCACGTGGTACTGTTTAATATTATTTTGCGTATGCGACAGTCATATACGAAACTGTAAAAATTACAAGCAGATAAATAAGGAAAATATCAGAAACTGTCTTCCGAGTATAATCGTGACAAAAATTAAGGACCAAGAAGATTTTGTGAAAAGTGAAGTGATTAACGATACCAAAGAAAATGTTGACTTAAGTTCGTTACTTAATAGTGACATGGAAAATATAGTACAAAATAAAGAATATTTTATATACAACGACCTAAAATTGTGTGTAAATTTAACCAACTCTACTGTGGCGTTTTCACTAAGACCACAAGCAAATGTAAGCTCCCTTGCACGAGGAATGCAGTTTTCAATGAAAAAGGTAAAAGAATATATTCCATATTTAATCGTTCCTGGATTGATTATGTCCGGAGTCTTGCCTTGGGTTCTTCCAGGGATTAACATGGTAGCTATGTTTCTTTCAATGATAAACCAAATGGCTTTTACAAGTTCTTTATTTGCTTTAGTTCGAGGGTATATATTTAACAATGAAAGGGATGAGCATATTATATACGTTAATCATGGATATAAAAATAATTATCATTATGGTCATAGGTAATTTGAATGTAAAAACACCATGTATGTTTTTGATGTAAATATTGTATTATAAATAAGACCTGTAAATTGTTTTATGTGTATTAAATTATTTATTTTAAAATTTATGTCGATGCCACACTGTTATCTTTCTGGATGTTTCTTTCTTAAATAAAATGAAATTGTATTAATGAAGTTTTATTTTGTAAAAGTAAGATTTGCAGTAAAAGTTTGATATTTTATTAAATAAAAAATTACCAAAAATAAGTACAAGAACATGATACGCCACAAGAATAATTTGGGATATATTTCTTTTAAATGCCTATATAGATCTACTTTTACAAATATATTAAATAAATCATTTTAATATTCAATGTGAGGCTAGTCATATTTCTGCATAGCCTAACAAGACAAAAATAATTTTTGAAAAAAGTAGCTCTTTAGTTATTTTTTAACCTAAAAATATAAATAATTGTATGCTTACATTTTATAAATTAATTGTTTGATATTATCTATAAACTATTTCTAGAAAATGTAGAGATTTCCACAACATTAAACTTCTTATATGTATAGGCAACTTAAAATACCATACTTGGTTACAATATAACATAATTTTAAAAATAGTGCTTTTTACCAACACAGACTCAAAAGAAGATGTGTGTGATAGACATGTATTGGCTCCGTCATCAGTCACAAAAAGTAGAAAAATACTTTTTTATATACTTTTTAATGATTGTGCCTCGTTTATTTTGTGCTTTTTTTAATTGGTAAAGAATTTAGTCTTTCAAATACAATGTTATAGTATATTGTTTACCGTGGATTTTTACCAATTACTACCGATGATGAAAGTTTCCGAGCCAGTCAATAGGAGAGTGAAGGAATTCATTGAGGGAGTAATTCCGATTCCACGCGAGGTAAACACTATACTTTTTTGTCAAGTGGAATCTTTTATAAATACACAATTTGGGTACCGTTAACACGGGTGGCTTTGCACCCCAGGGGTAACTTTAACCTTTTTGTGAAAAATCTTTTCGCGCTCGATAAAATTAACATTTATAATTTGTTGGTCTAAACCTGTTAATTGAACGATTCTATTGAGTTTATATTACAGGAAAACCAGTGTTTTAAAGAAATAAATGGGATTTATTACACTTTAAAATTGTTTATATTGCATCAGTGTAGAACTCTTAGAAATACACGCGTTACAATTTCTATATTAGGCGCAATCCTTTAAAATGATGATCCTTGGTTAACTACAGGTCGATTTTTTATTTATTTTATCGGTTATACTGTTCAATCGCTATATGTACACTGTGAGACAAAGTTACACGCAACCAGGGTGTAACTTTACACACCCAGATTGTAATTTTTATTTATGAAACTCAGCCCTACGTAATATTATAACATAGTTATTGTGAAAGAGCAACTCAAGAGACTCAAATTTTAGTATAGAATATTTAATGTTTATGATTGTTAAAACCACAAAAAAATTTAAACTTAAGTTTGAAAGTTAGCTAAAGCCACCCGTGTTTACGGTACCCGCGAAAAAAACTTACGTTTACATTCAAAGTCAATCACACTGTAGCGTCGTCATGGTAGCGGAAGGGAATGAAACATTTTCTACCTGACAGGAAGGGAATCAAAATATATACAGGGGAAGGAATAAGATTGTTTACACTGGGAGAAATGAATGACAATAAATATTAACAATTGCGAATATATTTGGCGCATTATAAACCAAATAAACCAAAACATATTTAAAGTTTAACTTGGGTTCTCATGTATTTATAATGCATAAATAAAACTACACATTTTCTACCAATGAAATGTTTACCTTTTGTGCAGTAGCGTAGCTAGCCTCGAGGGGGCCCCGTATCAAAAATCTTGTAGGGGCCCTTTTACGAGAAAAGCTATTGGCATAAAAAATTTCTGGTTGTCACGCCCAAAGTCTATTTTAGCCATACAAAAAATTTTTTTAGGGTATCATTTTTTTGCATTTACCATTTTTTTATAATTTAATAAATAATATATGTTTACATAGCTTTTTATGTACAGGCAAATTTTAAAATTTGGTCTGGTTTTAGACATTTACCGTTTTTCAACATTTTTTAAAAGTTTCTATTTTAAAATAAAGGCAAGTCATTTGAAATAATTCAAACGGTAATATTTATATCTAATTTGCTATTAATATAATCTATGATAATAACACGCAAAGCAGAGCACAGAACAATATACGCAGACTGCGCCGCAGACAACGCATAGCGGAAAGGTGCGGGCAAAAACAATTCGTATGAGTTCACGGCCTCGTTGGAACAGGAGGGTATTCAAGAAAATTTTAATTTAATAATTCGAAGTATAAACAATTGAATAATAATATTATTTATTTATTTAATTTCATGCCTCAATTTTTTTAACATGTGGGTAATATGGTCTTTGCTTACGCATGTCGAACAGTGGCGGCTGGTGGATTTTAAGTATACCAATATCTCAGTTATTAGACATGGGACCCACACCAAATTTATAATAGTTTATATTGACATTAAATAAACAAGTTCGGCGCAAACAGAATTTAAATTGAAGTTTGCGAAAAAAAGTTAGTTTTTCCTGTCGCCTACCCTGCCTCCAGGCCCCCCTATTTGAGATAATTCAAATTAAAGTGGTGCAATTTATTATCTACTATAATTTATCGACAAATTTAAAATTTTATTTAAAAAATCCAAATATTACAGTTTTTATACCATTTTAAATATTTTTTTATTTTAATAAAATAAATAATAAAAATTTAAAATCGAATAAAATCTGTAATATTTGGATTTTTTGAATAAAATTTTAAATTTGTCGATAAATTATAGTAGATAATAAATTGCACCACTTTAATTTGAATTATCTCAAATAGGGGGGCCTGGAGGCAGGGTAGGCGACAGGAAAAACTAACTTTTTTTCGCAAACTTCAATTTAAATTCTGTTTGCGCCGAACTTGTTTATTTAATGTCAATATAAACTATTATAAATTTGGTGTGGGTCCCATGTCTAATAACTGAGATATTGGTATACTTAAAATCCACCAGCCGCCACTGATGTCGAAGCCAATCGGGGGCCCCCCCTAGCCGGGGGCCCCGTATCATTGATACGGCTGATACCGCGGTAGCTACGCCCCTGCTTTTGTGACATATTTTAATGATTTGGATGTTTAGGATAAATTATCAATATGTAGTATTTGGCATAAGAGCAATTCTTGCTAATGTTTTATTTAAAAAATATTATTTTCCGCTCTTTTTTGCTTTTGCACTGATCTCGAGATTTATTAAGAGGAGGCCAAAACAAGTTTGCAAAATTAATTGGTTATTGGCTTTGGTTATCTTTCAGATACAATATCGAAAAGTTCACTCACCGAGCGATCTTCCTCAAAGTTAAAATTAATAATTTAATAATTTTCTTTTATTTTTAAATTAAATGTCTTTTTTTTAATTGCAAAATGATTTTAGTCGAAAAATTTATTTTAATTTAATGGAAATATTTCTAGCATTTAGAAGTTGTCTAGTGCGGCTATTTCAAAATGTGTGGATTTTTTTTATCTGACTCACGATCAAGATACATAACACAAATTTTTTGACAAATCATTCTGCAATTTAGAAATATTCTGGGCCATTTGATTAACCTTTGGAGTGCATTGTTTTATTTGTCACAAAAATTCACAAAACATCTGTAATTGAATACGTTTTAGTGTATCATTTCAACTATGTAGGAGTGATAATTTGCCTAACTTACGTATTTCTAAAAAACTATTAAAAGATGATACAGAGTTATAACAATGCATTTTTGGTTTGCACATTATGGGACATTATGCGATGCAATTAAGCATAGTTAGTTTGATTTAAGATAAATTTGATACAAATGAGTATATTTTGGTATTTCGCATAAAGGGTCCATACCATGACGAAAGGAGGTATTGGCACCGTAGACAAACATTGCGCCACATACTGTCTACAAAGAGCGACTCAAAGATGGCCGATGGTAATTTTGTATCTTATGACAAACATAGAGTAAGATCACGTCAAGTGGGCCCCCCATTTCCCTCTTGATCGAGGAATTCAACTTAATATTTTATTATAAAGCAGTCACCTTCAATAGTAAAACCCTAAAACAGTTTTTTAAAATTTTCATTTTAACAACATTTTTTTTACAATGAAAATTTTGGAGACTTTTAATTAAAAATAGAAAACAGAAAAACCGTCGGAGATAGTTTAATGAAATTTTCAGGATTTATTGTTTAATATTCACATTTTGAAAAAAAATTCAAAATTTTAAATTATTTATTTATTATCATATTTTTAATTAACTTTTAAATAAACAAATAATAATTCTCCCTCAAATTATAAATTTATTTTATTTCAGTTACATGCATTGTACACTTTAGTAAAATATTCTGCAAGAAAATTCCACTGCTTGCTATTAGTTTAAACAAAATGAATTTATTTATCCCCAAGCGCGAGCGCTCTCGGTATAGCCCGCTGCCGCCCGCCGTAGACTTGGCATCCGCTCCAATAAGTAGTAATAAATAATAAACTACCGTTTACAATAAAAAACTATGTTATTTAACAAATTTAATTTTTTTTTAATGTAATAATTATAACAAATAGATATTATATTTGTTTTTATTTGTAAATAAAGACAGTAAAAATGAACAAATAATTAAATGAAGCATAAATGTCCCATAGCGAGATACCTACTTTTTTATTGTTTTTTTATATACATATAAACGTAAATAACAAATGAATTTAACAATCCATTTACAATTTTCATTTTAACAACAATTTTTTTTACATTGAAAATTTTGGTGACTTATAATTAAAAAATAGATGACAGAAAAACCGCTAAAAATATTTTAATGAAATTTGTAGGATTTATTGTTTAATATTCTTATTTTAAAAAATAATTCAAAATTTGAAATTATTTATTTATTATCATATTTTTAATTATCTTTTAAAAAAACAAATAAAAATTTTAATGACTTTTACCTCAAATTATAAATTTGGTTTTTTTTCAGTTACATGCATTGTACACTCAAGTTAAATATTCTGCCCGCTATTAGTTTAAACAATATGAATTTATTTATACCCGAGCGCGAGAGCTGTCGGTACAGCGC